GATGCATTTGTCTATTTTAATTAGTGTTTTGGGTTTCTTTAGCTCTATTGGAATTGGTGGGTTCTTCTTTGTCTCTTTTACACTTTTTTCCAACCAATGGTGAGGGGACAGAACCAAGCCAAGGCAGGATGCCAGGCAGGGCTGTGAGGCTGCAAAGCTGGAGGCATGAGCTGGAGCCCTATCTCTGCAGGCCACCCCGAGGGACCCCACCTAAGCATGAATTCATGTACCGGGCCTCTATTGTTGAATATAAGTGAAGATAGCAGGTATTCCTTCTGACTGACATTCTCGGAACAAAAGTTTTCAGTATTTCACCACTGAACATGGTCTTTGCTATAATGTTTTATTTTATACTAGAGGCCTGGTGCAGGAATCCATGCACGGGGTGGGGGGGGGGGATCTAGCCTGCCTGCCCCAATGGGGGCTCATTGAGCCTGGCTGGCAGGAGGAGGGGCCATGGGCAGTTGCTGGCCAGCCCCACCCCAATCCAGTGTTTGGGGCCAATGAGGGGCCAGGCTGGCAGGGACAGGAGGGCAATTGGGGCCTGTATCAGGCTGGTTGGCTGCCTCAGTGCACATCATAGCCACCAGTCATTCTGTTCATTCTGTTCATTTCACCATTCCAGTCACTGGGCTTTTAAATATATATATATATATATATATATATATATATATATATATATATATATATATATATATGCTATTCTGTTTTGTTATTGTTGTTGCTAATCCTCACCTGAGGATATTTTTCCACTGATATTTAAAGAGAGTGGAAGGGAGAGGGAGAGACACAGAGAGAGAAACATCTATGTGAGAGAGACACTTCAGTTGGTTGCCTCCCATGTGTACCTTGACCAGAGCCAGTGATTGAGCCTGCAATCGAAGTACATGCCCTAGACTGGAATTAAACTCAGGACCCTTTAGTCCATGGGCTGACACTCTGTCCACTGAGCTAAACCGATTAGGGCAAGGAAGTGTTATTTTTATTCCTGATTTGCTAAAAGTTTATGAGTTTTTTAAATTACAATTGAGTGCAGAATTTTAACTCTAACCTATCTACTAAGATTATCATCGACTTCTTCTAACTTCTTTTATTTCTCCTCAATTGATTTTAATTTATTTAATTAATTTATAATAGATTTAATGATTTTTCTTTATGATACAATAACTTTCATTATTAGCAAGGATTCAATAATCAATCATCTAATAATAAAGTATTTTGAAAAAATGTTAACTACACCATAGGAATAGAGAGTCGTCAAAATTAGAGCTATCAAATTTTTGATATATTAATTAAAATATTTTTTAATATAATTTAGCCTTTGAATTCTTGAGCATGAATGCAACTTGACTATGATAAATATCTATTTCATATATCACTGGATTCAACTTTATAAAACTTTAAGATAATTTTTTTCATTTATGTATATCAGAGAGATTTGTCTGTAAATTTTCTTACTTATTGTATTCTTATATTATTATGATTACATAGTGTGAATTGCAAAATATTTCCTCATTTTCTATTCTATGAAAGAACTTATATAACATTGGTGCTACTTCTTCCTTAAATATTTTGAAAAAAAAATTTTTTTTTAAAATATTTTATTGATTTTCTACAGAGAGGAAGGGAGAGAGATAGAGAGTTAGAAACATCGATGAGAGAGAGTCATCGATCAGCTGCCTCTTGCACACCCCCTACTGGGGATATGCCCGCAACCAAGGTACATGCCCTTGACCGGAATCGAACCCGGGACCTTTCAGTCCCCAAGCCGACGCTCTGTCCATTGAGCCAAACTGGTCTTGGCAAATATTTTGAAAAATTTACTGACAGCTGGAGCTGGAGTTTTTTTGTAGGAAAGTTTTTAATTGAAAATTCAATTTCTTTAATAGATATAATACTATTCAAATGTCCTATTTCTTGTGTATGTTAGTAAGTTGTGTTTTTCAAGAAAGTTTTCTATTTTATGAAAATTGAAGTTTAAATTTAAAATACCATCTTACTTTTTAAATATCTGCAGGATCCTGCTTCTCTTTTCTCCCTGATATTGGTTATTTGTGTTATCTTTTAATTTTCTTTTTTTCTTTTTTTTTTTTTTGTCTTGAACAATTTTGCAAGGAGTTTTTCAATTTTATTAGTCTTTGCAAAAAAAAAAAAAAGTAACTTTGACCTATTGGATTTACTCCATTGTATGATATTCTTTCTATTTAATTAAATTTTGCTTTTGTTTTCATTATTTTCCATTTACTTTCACTGAGTTTAATTTGTTTTTCCTTACCTAATTTCTTGAGATGGATACATAGATAATTAGATCTTTCCTCCTTCCAAACTCCTATCATTGTTTCACATTGGTAAACATAGTCAGAAGTCAGCCAACATATGAGCCTAGGAGGGTGGGGGTCTCACAAGGTAAGACCCTTGTGATATAGGGCAGAACAAAGGAAGAAGGAATGGATATGACAGCCACATGACAACCACATAGGCACATGTCTAATACAGGCAGTAAAATATGGAGAAAAAAATGGGCAGAAAATGATTACACACTTTAACTTCTTAAAGAGTTATTATATGGGAGAGATCTGAATAGGTTATGTATGAATCCAGAGGTCAGTACCAGAACTAATGGGGAAATTATATTACAGCTCCATATAAAAAAATAACAACATTACAGTGACACAAAAGAGAGGAGCTATCATAAATTTTTAATTGAAAAACATTTTACAAAATGTATTAGAATTTAAAATACACTCACTCAACAAATTCAGTTTTCCAGAGGAGGGAGAAGATGGCAGCTGAATAGGTAGACCTTTCTTACACCTCCTCCCAGGACCAGACTGGAAATAAAACTATGCCAAAACTGGTTTGGCTCAGTAGATAGCGCATCAGCCTGCAGACTGAAGGGTCCCAGGTTTGTTTCTGGTCACGGGCATGTGCCTTGGTTGTGGGCACATCCCCAGTAGAGGGTATTAAGGAGGCAGCTGATCAATGTTTCTCTCTCATTGATGTTTCTAGCTCTCTATCTCTCTCCCTTCCTCTCTGTAAAAAAATCAATAAAATATATTTTTTAAAACTAAATTAGTTTGACAGTTGAATAGTAGTCAATTTCTCAGAGATAATTAAATTGGCTAATTAAAATAAGCAAATATTCTAGAAAAATTGATTGCACTGTACAAAAAACTATTCCTAAAATGTTAACAGAATGCTTATTGGCAATTTATCTCATGGTAAAATTTCACAACATGTAATAAACCTAAAGCAGTCATATTTTAGAGCAAATAATTAAAATGTTAAAGCTATCAATACTATATGATAAAATTTCCAAAAGCCTCCTAATATTTAAATTAAAAAAGGGGGTGATAGTGGGAAAATATCATGTAAGGAAAAATATCCTGTGAATCAATTACATTTAGAAAATTTGTACTATGGAAAATTAACTTTCATTTGAAATGCTAACAACAAGATACCCATAAAAAACATACATGGTGTCAAAACAAGCCAGAGGAAAATCATTTGAGAAAAATAAATAAATAAATATTAAATAAATAAAATAAAATGAAAAGGGATCCCAAGTCAAATTTATAGAAAATATCCCTTTATTAACTTTTGGTTGAGAATATGTTTGTATATTTTCAGAAAACAACTCCGAAACCATGTGGATTCCTGCAACAAAGGAATTGACAGGAGTGCCCCAGCCATGAAGACAGAAAAGAAACAGTCCAGAAATGGAAGATGCTGACAACGCCTTGCCATACTAGCAGACCGGAGCTGTGTGTCGCTGAAGGATGCCTAGGACCAAACCAGAAATGGTCGGAACTGCATCAACACCATTTGTCAACCAACCAGATCTGAAATACCATGGCTGACATGTACACATAAGGAACTGTTTGACATTGAAATGGGTACTCAAAAGAACTGTTGGCCCAGAAAGGTACTCACTACAGACTGTTTAATTTGCCTCTCATCATAACCATTATGGCTGTCTCAGTTTCGGTCCTTATAAGGGAATTCCTTGTATCACATGATCTAACGTATCTAGGGGAAATAATGAACAACATAAATTGGTGAACAGAAACAGATCAGGAGACAGAGAAGCAGTGATCAGACTGTCAGGCCTCAGGGGAAAGATGGGGGGGGGGGACGACAAAGGGGCTCAAAGGATATGTGTGCATGCATATAAGCCTAACCAGAGGTCATGGACAATAGAGGGTGGGCATACATGGGGAGGAGTTTGGGATGGGGATGGGGGGATGAGGACAATTATGTGACACCATAATCAATAAAGAAATAAAAAAAAAAACTAAATTAGGGGACATTCACCCAGAATTGCCAATTTATGTCTAGCTGAGGAGAACATATATATCAGGGAAGGACAGAAAACACCTGGAAACTGGTAGGAAAGGAGAAGTTGTGAGAAGGACTGACCCAACTTTTAAGGGTGGCAGATCGAGAGTGAAGAGGGATTCTCAGCTATGGGAGGGTTATTTCCCTGAGAAGATCAAGGCCCAGAACCCAGACAGTGCTTCACAGCCCAGAGCACCAAAACCAAGAAAAGCAGCCCACATAACATCAAGCCATGAAAGGTGGCAGCGCTTCTGACCACCAGGGAGTGTGGGGCCAGTCAAAGTTAAAGCCACTAAAGAGATGTTCTCCAAGACACAACATAATCATTCTGACAAACATTAAGACAAAGAAAGAACCTTAAAAGCAGCAAGAGAGAGATAAAAAGTTACCTACAAAGGAGTACCCTTCCTAATGTCAGCTGATTCCTCAACAGAAACACTGGAGGCAGGAAGGGATTGGCACAAAGTATTCAAAGTAATGAAAAACAAGGACCTGAACATAAAATTAACCTATCCAACAAGGCTATCATTTAAAATTGAAGGGGAAATAAAGCTCTTCCCAGACAAAAAAAAAAAAAAAAAAAAAAAAAAAAAAAAAGGCTAAAGAAGTGCATTACCACCAAAACAGACTTGCAGAAAGTGTTAAAGGAATGCTGTAAGAAGAAAAAAAAAATTGAGAGGAACATAGGTATAAAGACAAAAATGGCAGTAAATATGTACCTATTAATAATAACCTTAAATGTAAATGGGTTAAATGCTGCCCAGGTATCCCCCACTCCAAACTGCAACAGCCATTTTTCTTGTTTGAAGAAAAGACAAAGGGTGACTGAATGGATAAGATATTATGAACCATATATATGTTGTCTATAAGAGACCCACCTCAGAACAAAAGATTAAAAGTCACATAGACTGAAAGCAAATGGGTGGGGGAAATTTTCAATGCAAATGAAAAAGAAAAAGAAAAGCATTAGTAGAAATACTTATATTTGCCAAAATAGACTTCAAAATGAAGGTCACAAAAAGACAAAGAAAGTCATTACATAATACCAAATAGATTGATAAAATAAGAAGATATAGCACTGGAAATATATATGCACCCACTATATGAGCATATATATATATATATATATATATATATATATATATATATACACACACACTCTTGGGGAATGGAAATGGAGGGAGGGATCAACAGCAATATAGTTATAATAGGGCACTTGAGCACCCTACCAACATCACTATATAAATCTTTCAGACAAAAATTCAACAAGAAAACAGACACCTTAAATGACACACTAGATCAGATGACACACTAGATCAGATTGACATTGACAAAACATTCCACCCCAAAGCTGCAGAATATATATTCTTTTTAAGTGTACATGGGACATTCTCAAAGAAAAGCCACACGTTCAGATACAAAATAAGTTTCTACAAGTTCAAGAGGATTGAAATCATATCAAGAATCTTCTCAGATCACAATGGCATAAAACTAGGAATCAATTATAATAAAAACACTCAAAACCATAAAACAAATGGAGGCTAAATAGTATGTTATTAAATAATGAATGGGTTACCAATGAAATCAAGGAAGCAATAAAAATAAAACTTCCTGGAAACAAATGAAAATGGAAATACAACAACGAAAAATTATTGGGCTCAGCAAAAGCAGTCCTGAGAGGGAAGTTCATAGCATTATAGATTTATCTCAAGAAATAAGAAAAAGCTCTAATAAACTAATACTATAACTAAAAGCATTAGAGAACAAAAGAAAAGGCCCAGAGTAAGTAGAAGGAAGGAAATAATAAAGACCAGGTTGAAAGTAAATGACAAAGAGTCTTAAAAGCAAAACAAATAATCAAGGAATCCAAGAGCTGGTTCTTTGAAAAGATAAACAAGAGTGATAAACATTTAACCAGACTCACCAAGAAACAAAGGGGACCAATGTAAATAAAATCAGAATCTAAAGAGGTGAAATAACTGAAATCACAGAAATACAAAGTATTGTAAGCAAATAATATGAACAACTATTATATATGCCAACAAGCTGGATAACATTGATAAAATGGACAAATTCATAGAAAAAATACAATCTTCCAAAACTGAATCAAGGAGAAGCAGAAAACCTGAATAGGCCAATAACAACTGATGAGATTGAAGCAGTAATAAAAACAGAAACAAAACAAAACAAAAAAAACCTCCTACCAAACAAAAGCTCTGCTCCCAAGGGCTTCACAAGGGAGTTTTAACATTCAAGGGAGAACTAACACCTAACTTCCCCAAACCATTCTAAAAAATCCAAGAGGAAGAAAAATTTTCATACTCTTTTTATGATGCCAGCATTATCCTAATTCCAAAGCCAAATAAAGGAGAATTACAGGCCAATATCCCTGATGGTCATAGATGCTAAAATTCTCTACAACATATTAACAAATTGGATCCAGCATTATATTAAAAATATCATATACCATGACCAAGTTAGATTTATTCCAAGGATGTAATTCCGGTACAATATTTTCAAATCAATAAATGTGATACATCACATACACAAATTGAAAAAAATATCACAGGATTATATCAATAGACACAGAAAAAAACATTTGACAAAATCCAGAACACATTCCAAGTCAGTCATTTAGGCTAACAAATATAAAGATGATGGTTATTATGACATAATTATATTCAACTAAAATATCAATTTTAATTCATCCACTTTCTTTTACAAACAAAAAAAATATATATGTCTTTATCTTCCTTAATAGAAATGTGATGAATTATAAATAGGTCTTCTTGTCAATGTATTTCTAATAACCTGATTCAAAATAAGGAACAGAATAGTTATTCTTTCAGTGTCAAATTTTTCACTGGATGCTTTGACTTCCATGAAATATTGAGAATACTGGATGCATGGCATGCTGTTTTTCAAACCACTGGAGTTAGGCTTATTGTGTATTTGAATATATATTTTAAATATAGCCTGGCAAGATTATTTCCATTACTCTACTAAGGTCCTAAACTATCATAATAATTTATTCTTTTTTAATGGATACTTTTCATTATTATTAAAGGATAGAGTATGAAAAAAGCTGAACTCTTGAAAAACAGTGTATTTCAAACAAAATTCTGGCAGCTTGGGACTCTTGTAGACTCTGTCAACCAAACACACAGCAAATGTTTTCCTAATCTGATTATGAAGATCAGACTTAGTACCCAAAACAAAAAGTAATGCAAATAAGAACTATAATAAAATGCTAAATTATGTGAGAGGTGAAAAAAGTACAACTAATGAAAATGTCTCCTTACCTACTCGGATGGTATTAGGATATCTAAAGAACTGGAAAAGAATTTAAATCATAAAATAATTATTAAGGGAAATTGTAGTGTTCTCTTAAAGAGTTAACTTTTAAAGGGCACTCCTCCAAATCTTGTTTTCATAGCTAAATAAAAATCTTGTTTTCATAGCTAAATTGGAAATATTGGGAGAGAGTCCAGAATGGTCAGCTTTGTCTAGCTGTTTGTTATGGAAAGCAGACACACAAATGCTTAGCATGAAAGAAATACTTGTTTCTGTCAAATACATTCTGTTCAGGAAGAGTGCATCCATGTGAAAATGTAACTCCTTTAATGCTGCCAAGTTTAGCAAAATCTAAGATGAGCCATTGAGGAAGTGCTAAAAGCAATATTACATTAACTTACACATCCAGTTTTTAAAGGCTTTCAAAAACAATCTCAAAGAGAGCACTTATAACACACTCTTTGGTAATTCTCCTGTCTTCTGACTTCCTTTGTCACAATTAGACACTAGATCAATATATTGTTCCTGAAAGAACTGGAAATATGATGTTTAACCTGTAACTTACATAACTTACATTTTTCAACATTCTGGTTTGCATGTGGCAGATACAGAGGTTTCATATTTGTTTCTATCCCTGTGAGTTTAAAATAAGTATCTTCTTCAACAAATATGAGTTTGCAATAACTCATTTTAGATGATATATTTATGAATTATTGTTTATGGTCTCTCTTTTAAAAGTTCAGGATAAGATATTGCATATGGGAGACATCAATGCTTTAGCTTTATGAACCACCTTAAACTCAATTTTGTGATGAAATGTTTGATAAAATGCCTAAAGGATTTAACCAGTTTCAAAATATTAGACATTATAAAAATGGGGAGTCATATATAATTTTATTTTGGGGGGTTGTAGAAATATATATATATATATATTTAAATTTCCATAACTTTCTCATTTCTTAAAAAACACAAACAATATAAGCTTCAAATTAGACACCGAATTGTCAGCACACTAAATGTACTTGTATGTGGTTTGGGTAAATGTGAGTTGACTAATCAGGGTGGGTGTAACACTTATGATCAGAGTTTTGGTGTACTTGCTATCATGGGTTGGAGACTATATATAGCAACAGCTGGAAATTCATATGTTTACAATGATCTGATAGGTAATAAAAAATGAGTAAAATTGTCTGGCATAAGAATAACTAGCAAAAGTTCCTGACTTTCAATGATTCAACTTACAATTTTTTTTTGGCTTTACAATGGTATGAAAGTTATACACATTCAGTAGAAACTGTACTTTGAATTTGGAATTTTGCTCTTTTCCCAGGCTAGCAATATGTGAAACCATACTCTCTCATGATGCTGGACAGTGGCAGTGAGCTGCAGTTCCCAGTCAGCCATGCAATCATTAGGATAAACAGCAAATACTCTATAGTGTTTTGTGTTGCCAGCATTTTATGGATATTGCATTTTATATTTTAGCATTCCATCATGTTTACAAAATGCCCATCTGTCTCCCACTTCTGGTGAGAAAAAGAGAAAAGAAATTGCTTTTAATATGAAACTCAAGTTAATTGCCTAATGTAAGTGTCCTGAGCACTTTTAAGGTATGCTATGCTAAGCTAGGATGTTTGGTAGGTTGGACATATTAAACACATTTTCAACTCATGATATTTTCAACATATGTAACCCTTCATAAATTGAGGAGCACCTTTGTCTTGAAACAGGAAGCAATCATGGTCTTCCCTTTTCCTACTTTTGATTGAGATATAGCTAACTGCTTTTTGTTTATTATCTTATCCTTTGAATTACTTTAGGAATGGAAGCAAAACAAGGAATAAAAACTAACAATTGGATTCAAGTATGTCAATGTTCAAGATTTGGCAATGTGCCAGCAATTTGTGATTTCTAGTTTAGAGCGAAATATAAAAATTCATCACTACCAAACAGTATTACATGAAATGTTGAAGGTTATTTTTCAAAATGTTTTTATTGATTTTAGAGAGCGAGAAAGGGAAGGAAGAGAGAAAGAGATAGTAGCATCAATAAGAGAGAAACATTGATCAGCTGCCTCCTGCACATCTTCTACTGGGGATCAAGCCCAGAACCTAGGCATGTGCCCTGGCCAGGAATTGAACCAGTGTCCACCTGCTTCAGGGGTCAATGCTCAACCACTGAGCAACACTGGTCAGGCTTGAAGGGTATTCCAGAAGAAGAAGAGGGAAAAAGAGGAAGAGAAGAAGAAGGGGGAGGGGGAGGAGGAGGAGAGAAGAAGAAGAAAAATATGAACAATAAAATGGCAAGAAATATATATCTATCAATAATTGAATCTAACAAAATAAACAAACAAAGAATGAGCAAAATAACTGATGAATATAATAGAACCACAGGCGTGGAAACATAGAACAGACAGAAGAATCTCAGAGGCAAATGGGGAGGGGTCATGAAGGGAATAAGCAAAGAAGTTATATGCATATATGCATTACCTATGAGCACAAACAGTAGAGTGTTGAAGACCTGAGGCAGTGCAGGAGGCTGAAGGAGGAGGAGGGCAATAGCGGAGGGGGGAGGGTAAGTGGGATATCTGTAATACTCTCAACAATAAAGATTTTAAAAAATATTTGAGCAACTACAAAAAAAATAAATAAACACCAAAAAACACAACACTGAGAAGAAGAAAACAGTGATCAAGTCTAGGCATAAATATTTGCAGGCGAAGATTTATCATTTTTCAAAAAGCTTGTTTTTCATTGTAGTTGACATATATTATGATATTAGTTTTAGTTGTACAGCAGGATTGTCTTGGGTCAGCTTTTTTTTTTTTTTTTTTTTGCGGTTTTTTTTTTTTTTTTTTGCGGTTTTTTTTTTTTTTTCCCTCCAATCTACTGTGGTTAGAAACTTGAAGTAATGTGGCATTTAAAACTTAACATGCCTTTTGGTAGGGGTGTAGGAGGGGTAGCTTCCACGTGAAAATACAGGAGCAATGGTAGACATTGGTAATTTATAGAAACAATTGCTGATTTTTAGTAGGCACGTCATATATTTATCTCCAAACCCTTATAGAAAATAAAATATACTCCAAATGACTTCTTTATATACAAACTTGTCACAAAGTTAGTCCAAACATGAAATGATTATTTTTATTCTTAAAAATTTGAGTCACACATAGACTTAATAAACCATTATCCTTGAGATTAGAGACTATAAACAGCTTTGAATTTCAGGTTACTCAATCATTTCCTGATTAAGACTAATTAAATATGCTTTTGCATTGAAATAAAACATGAATATACTATAGTAAAAACAAACTGTACTAATAAAACACAAATCCAAGGAGGGACTACCAGTATAAACTACAGAACATTTAAATTTTTTACTATGAATTGTCCTGTTATAAATTCTGATGTAAGGTTTTGTCAGCAAATTAGGGGGAAATAGTGCACCCTTTGAAATTAAATATTTTATTTTACTTTAAAAATATATATTTTTAATTCCAACTGACATATACAATATCGTATTAGTTTCAAGTGTACAACACGGGGATTGGACATTTCTATAACTTAAAAAATTGATAACTCCATTAAATCTAGTAACCAGCTGACACTATACATACGGCAGTTATTTCAATATCATTGACTATATACCTGATGCTATATTTTACATCCCTGTGACTACTCTGCAACCTACAATCTGTACCTCTTAATCCCTTCCCCCTTTACACCCATTCCCCCAAGTCCTCTTCCCATACAGCTGTCATCAAAATGTTTTCTGTGTCTATAAGTTTGTATCTGTTTTTTATTTTTGTTTTTTAGATTCCACCTATAAGTATAATCATATGGTATTTGTCTTTGGCTTATTTCACTTAGCGTATCTTTTTAATATTATTTTTCTTATCAAAAATTAAAAATAAAATCCATTAAATGTAAAAACATCCCATAATGCAGATTTCCATGTGTTTGTCTGAACTTTTTATTTTATGCAACCATACAGAAAATTTACTGCATTTAAACTTTGGGAATATTAAAACAGAAGAAAAATTATTGAATGATAAAATGCAAATGAATAGTGTTTATACTTGATCTTTTCCATCTGTGTGCTTTATTTTTTAGACAATTATAATTAACTGGATGTTAGTTTGATAAAGAAGTTTGGCAATCAGGCCACTGAATATTCAGTTTAATTAAGTTGGTATGCACTTTTCTTTTGCTTCTAATTCCAAGAATTCATTGGTAAAATGAAAGCATATTTTGTGGTCTGTTATGCAGAAAATGTTTAATCCAGTGTCTGATTTACTTTGTTAAATCTTCCTTATTTAATGTGCTTATCCATTCATGCAGAATTGGGTATGCTGCTCTCTGTTACTATGACATTACAATTAAACAGCTGAAACAAGAACAGCAAGGCTTTCTGTAAAGGTTCATGAAACTCTCACAAAATTGTTCATAGTTTATTGTTTTATTTTGTTTTGAAAGTACTATGAAAGATGCTAATTTGTTCTAAATATTTCTGTATTGAAGAAGGTGGCAAATACAATAGCTAGTACAAATAATCATTTTGTTTCTAAAGCTAGCACTTAAAACAGATTTCTGATGTAGTGGAAATGATTGCTGCCATAACACTGATTATCTTTTAGAGATAGAAATGAACATGAATTCAAAGAACTGAATTATATACAACAGAAAATGGTACGATAGAATAATATTTGTACATATTTGAAGTCTACATTGACTTTATCTGAGTATATTGTAAAAGTCATGAACATACATTATGCTCATAAATGTACTACTTCATGTAATTCTAGGTTATTCTTCAGCATACTGGACTTTCTCCATTTTTAGCTATGTTTTACTGTCCAGAGTACTTGTGCTAATAATTTTTTTATTGCCACTATGAGCATAGGTTTAGTGATAGAAAAATATTTTAATTCAAAGCAAGTTCTAACACTAGTTCTACATTTAAAAAATGTTCTTTGTGAGTCTGGAATTTATAATAAGGTGTTTCCTGAACTATTATTGCTTGCTTTTAATGGACTTAAAAGATTTACATTCATAAATATATTATTTTTTTCTAAGAAGGTCTCTTGACTGGTTAGTTTGGTTGTTTACAATATGGTAAGATGAGATCCCAGAGTAGTAGATTCATTGTGTGTGTGTGTGTGTGTGTGTGTGTGTGTGTGTGTGTGTGTGGCGTAAAATTATGTGACTGCTGGATCATAAACAATAATAATAACACTGACACCTGGAAAGTGTATATAATAGTTCTAATCTATATGACCCATACCACTCCTAGAAAATTTTTGCTGTGTCTTACCAATAAGAATAAAAGAAATATCATTCTGTATCAGATCAATAGTCCAGCCTAGTGTTTCCCAAAGTATGAAATCCTTATAGTTCACATGTATAATTACTATAAAAAGATTTGAACAGTCCCCCGGTAAAGAAACCATCTAGCTAATTGTCCTCTGAATGTATTTTATTATAAAACCCCTATTACTATTCTACAGAATTACTCTTTCCCGGGACATACGGGGAAAAAAAGGTTGAACGTGGCATTGAAAGGGGTTTCACAGGTGAATATTACAGATCACACCCCTTCAACATACAAGACATATCTTATTAGGTTCCTGTTCAATTATAGGCATTTCTCTAGAAGCTTGGGATAGTTCAGCGAACAAAGATTTCTATCCTCCCACTACTAACTTTTAAGATCCTTGAATTTATATAAACTTTTCCTAACTATGTTTATATGAGGAAAAGTATTTATATTTTATTTTAGAACAGATTATATATGCTATGTTATTGCATAGCAGTACTATTAAGTCAAAATAAATATTTATTACGATGAAAAGTTAATTTTTGGTGATATTAATTTAAAACCCAGATATCAGGTCCTGGCTGGGCAACTCAGTTGGTTAGAGTGTCATTCTGATATACCAATATTGTGGATTTAATCCCCAATCAGGGCATATACAGGAAGCAAACAATGAATGCATAAGTAAATGGAGCAGCCAATCTCTCTTTCTCACTCTTTCTCTCTCACACACAATCAATCAACAAATAAAAAATAAAACCCAATAGTCAGAAAATTATTGAAATTACCAATATAGTATTATATCATTGCAAATAAGAATTTAAACATTCACCAGTCTTTAGGATAAATTCTAAGTGAGAAAATTCTAAAACATCAAATATATGCATTTAAATCACTAACATGCCCTTGCTGGTTTGGCTCAGTAGATAGAGAATTGGCCTGAGGATTGAAGGGTCCTGTATTTGATTCTGCTCAAGGGCACATGCCGGGGTTGTGGCGTGATCCCCAATTGGGGGTGTGCAGGAGGCAGCCAATCAATGATTCTCATCATTGATGTTTCTATCTCTCCCTCTCCCTTCCTCTCTGAAATCAATAAAAATATATTAAAAATAAATCACTGACAGAAATTGACAAACAGCCTTCCAAAGGAATTGTATCAATTCCCACTTCCATTAGCAATGCACACATGTGCCTGTTTCCTCATACCTTTACCAATACGGTGTGTTAGCAAATATTTTAATTTTTGCCAATCAGGTGAAAGTCGGTATCTCCCATATCCTCACAATGATTACTACTGTTGCTGCTGTTGCTCCTGCTGCTGCTGCTACTACTACTACTACCAAAAGAATATGTTGACTGCTTACTATCAGTCAAATATAGTTCTATAAGTACTTTATCCCCCCCCCCATAACCACCCTGGGAGGTAAATAACATCATTGTTGCCATTTTACAGATGAGGAACCAGAGGTTCTGAAAGGTTAAATAACTTACTTAAGACCATTCTGAAGGTAAATAACTTACTTAAGACCATCTGGGACTCAAACTTAGGAAGTCTGGACAAGAATCTGAATTCATAACCATTATGCATTTGTAGTAGCAAAAGACTAGGAAAAACCCACAACCAAATATTCATCAATAGAGGAATATTAAATAAAACATGGCATATCCATATAATGGAATTATAGGAAACCATTAAATATGAGGCATCCATATATGTATTGAGAACACAGGATCTTCAAAATTATTAAGTGAAAAATAAAGGTGTAAGGTTAAGAATAATGCTTACAGCATGCTGCCTTTTGTGTCTAAAAAGAGAGGGATTGCTGTTACACACACATACACACAGCGTCTCTACCAGGATTCACAAGAAATGAAAAACAGTGCTTATCTCTGGAGAGGACAGCGGAGGGACAGGGAGAGCATAGAGACCTTTTTGGGTTGATTGGAGTTTTTAATTAACCACATGTGCATTACTTGTCCAATTGCAAACCCAAAACCAGCTGATGAAAGAAGTTTACTGAGTAATCAATTAATTTTATTCCCATTTAAAATAGTACTCATGATGTTTCTTGAAGACTTCCTATATTTTATTATTCAATTCAGCAGATTTTAAATTTTATTCATTTTTGACAAATTAACATTTTATAAATTTAAGGTATATACCATGATGTTTTGATATATTTATACAGTGTAAAGTGATTACCACAACCTAATTAATATATCCACTACCTCCCATAATTACAATTTTGTATGTGTGTGGTGAGAACACTTGATATCTAAAATCTTAGTAAATTTCAAGTATGTAATATTATTGACCATAGTCACCATGCTGTATATTACCCAGATCTGTAGGTCCCCAGATCTCATTCATCTTATAATTTAATTTTGTCCCCTATGATTAATATCTTCCCTTTTCCATACTCCAGCCTCTGGTAAGCACCATTCAACACTCTGTTATTATGAATTCAACTCAATATTATTTTAGATTCCATGTAAAAGTTAGATCATGTGATATTTGTATCTCTGTGTCAGGCTTATTTCACTTAGCATAACATTCTGCAGATTCATACATGTTGTTGCAAATCACGAGGTTTACTTCTTTTTTAGGTTGAATAATATTCTATTATATGTATATGCTACATTTTCTTTATTCATTCACCTGTCAATGAACACTGTGTATAAGACTACAATGAATATGAGAGTGTTACTATCTCTTCAAGATAGTGATTTTATTTGCTTTGCATATATTCCCAGAAGTGGGATTTCAGCAGATATTTTTGAGTGCCTATTATATGCCAGGTAGGCACTGAATTGTGTATTGGGACTATAATGATAAATAATATAGACACAGTCCTTGCCTTTGTGGAGCTTACCATCTATGAAAATAGCAGATATAAAACAATATTTGATATTTCTAATCATGAAAAATTCAACAAAGGAGGGGGATAGGGTGATAGCAGACCTAAGCTAGACTGTGGACTCAATGAAGACTTGCCGGAGTATGTGAAGTTTTGAACGAAAAGTAAAATGAATAGGACTAAGCTAGGAGAAAGGGAGAAGGATAAAAGTGCACATCAGCACGCGGAATAGCATGTGTGAAGGCCCTGAAGTAGAAGGGAGCATGTGGTATTAGAGGAAATGAAAGTGAGCCAATATAACTGGAACTTAGAGAGAAAAGGATAAAAAGTATAAAATGAGCCGAAACCAATTTGGCTCAGTGGATGGAGCGTTGGCCTGCGGACTGAAAGGTCCCAGGTTCGATTCCGGTCAAGGGCATGTACCTTGGTTGCGGGCACATCCCCAGTGGGAATTGTGCAGGAGGCAGCTGGTCGATGTTTCTCTCTCATCGATGTTTCTAGCTCTCTATCTCTCTCCCTTCC